AGTAGTGCAGCGATACAGGGATGCAGTGATACACTAGTGCAGTGATGCAGGGATGCAGTGATACACTAGTGCAGCGGTGCAGTGATACACTAATGCAGTGATGCAGTGATACACTAGTGCAGCGGTGCAGTGATACACTAATGCAGTGATGCAGTGATACACTAGTGCAGCGGTGCAGTGATACACTAATGCAGTGATGCAGTGATACACTAGTGCAGCGGTGCAGTGATACACTAATGCAGTGATGCAGTGATACACTAGTGCAGCGGTGCAGTGATACACTAATGCAGTGATGCAGTGATACACTAGTGCAGCGGTGCAGTGATACACTAATGCAGTGATGCAGTGATACACTAGTGCAGCGGTGCAGTAGTGCAGCGATACAGGGATGCAGTGATACACTAGTGCAGCGATACAGGGATGCAGTGATACACTTGTGCAGAGATGCAGGGATGCAGTGATACACTAGTGCAGCGATACAGGGATGCAGTGATACACTTGTGCAGGGATGCAGGGATGCAGTGATACACTAGTGCAGCGATGCAGTGGTACACTAGTGCAGCGATACAGGGATGCAGTGATACACTAGTGCAGCGATACAGGGATGCAGTGATACACTAGTGCAGGGATGCAGTGATACACTAGTGCAGCGATACAGGGATGCAGTGATAACACTAGTGCAGTGATGCAGTGATACACTAGTGCACCGATACAGGGATGCAGTGATACACTAGTGCAGTGATGCAGGTGCGCAGCAATACACTAGTGCAGCCCTGCCAAGTTTCACAGACCGCAGGGCTAAAATGCTACATGCAAATAATGAAATGCAGCCATCCATACAAATGTGCATAGTTAGGGTAGCAACATGAATAGTCTTATCAACTTTTAAAAGAGAGGAGAAAACACTTCTCATATCTTTTAATGTTGACTTCAAAGGCTGTACATTCAGTCAATCTATGATATTTTGGCATAACATCATAGATGCCAACATCAGCATAAGCCATAAACTGTGTAAGGAAATACAACACAGTCTAAATTAGATACTTGCACATGAATGTCCATGTTTTTGCCAACCAGAGTGTGTTTTGCGCAGTAAATTATTGGCTTCAAAGAACATGACACCTTGAGTTAATCACTTTAATAGTTTATCTGAAGGACATTTTTGTTAACTTTTAAACAATATGCAATTTTAGCACTGTGTTGCTGTCCAGTGTGAAATCCTGTCCTGAAGCAAAACCAGTTGAGAGCCAGTACTGTAGAGTTTGAGCTGTACAGATAATGAATGAAACGCTGGCCTTGGTGCTGAACCCTTCTCTGGTGTGAGAGACTCCCTGGATGTGTTTACTTCGCGTCTCTATGCCTGTCTATACTGAACACTTGTGTGTGTGATCTTCTGCCTGTTTATTGCCTATATATAGCACCACAACACCGCCGTTTCACACATTTAGTGTCACAGGGTGTGCAAGTGTGTGGGCTTCGTTAGCTCCTGTGAGAGTTTTGGCTTTTTGTATGCTGATCAGACCAGAATGGCTTGTTGTTTGTAATGGGCTCTATTGTGGACCGTGCCACCACAATTAGCATTCACATACCTGCCATAAAGAGCCTCTCCACTGACTGACACACACAATACAGGTGCTCAAATGTGTGTGTGTGTGTGTGTGTGTGTGTAAATAGAGCTCTCTTGGGAGGCTTGTGAAGAGACAAGGAAATGTGGAAGGTTTTTGTCGTTTCTTATGGCAGCTAATAACGGATGGGTCTTTTGTGCTCAGTACGGGTCACGCTGTTTAATTGGGCTGATACAGTAGATTAATCAGCAGACAATCAATATGACATTTCCAGGACTGCTGAACCGCGCCAGCTATAATCAGGATACAGACTCACTGCTGTCTGGACCGCCATGACTTTCAGAACGTCTTACATCCACAAAACTACACAGCCACTCTAGCAATGTATTTAGCTGTCTTTGTTATCTTTGGATGTTTTTGATGGTATTTTTCATGAAATTGTCAGTTTATTTTGAGAATTTTAAGTATGAAAGTTGTAAGTGATTTGAATGAATTGCTATGTTTCTGTGCACCATTTTCTAATATTACTATATATATATATATATATATATATATATTAAAATGTGTTATTATATTTTAAATTAAGTTTAACTGTTTACTGTATATTTACTGATTCCAAATTACATGACAAACATTGAAGCTATTGTAACATAATCCATTGCATATTTTAGGTTAAATAATCAGACTACTTTTTGATTACTTTTAGATTACTTTTGACCTAACTTGTTTGTCACATTGATAGAATAATCTTGTACCATGCTGATATAAGAATACAAAGAGAAAGAAAATACATTACATTTGTTGTTATTAACATCATGAAGTGCATGTATTATGAATAATTTATTGCTATTGTGTAAATAATATGTTATAATGTAATCAATAAAAAAGTAACTGTAGTCTGATTATTAGTATTTTAAAATGTAATATAATCTAATTACAAGTGCTTAATTTTTGTAAACTGATTACATATATATTTTGTATACATATTATACATGTATTATATTTGATATTTATATAATTACTACCATATATACTGTATATATTACTTGTATATTTTATTACTTTAATACCATTTATAATGTGCTTTGGCAATTTGATTAAAATTAATTTTTTTGAAGCCATATTATCCAGCCCTACTAGTGTGATGTTTCCATTGTGAGACTGGGCAGGTCACACACGTCCTCCCTCCATCCATTATTCCAGGTCATATTTTCCCTTCTATGAATTTGACCCAGTAACTCCTAAAAGCTCATCTGCATCTCTCTCTCTCATCTATATTTCATCTCTCTTTCCACCATCCAGATCATTTATTATTGAAATGAGCAGCTTTTAATGTGTTTCTGAGTCTTTGTGCTTTGGGAGACGGCGGCCCTCCCAGTCCCAACAGACCCTCCCGACTGTGACATGACGCGATTCGAAGGTTCAGACGAGGTTTATTGTTGTGAGCTATCTAGGGCACAGAGATGATGTCAGTTCTTATATACCCTGGCATACAGAGAGAGATGGGTGGGGCTCTGTAGCCACATCGCAATGAAATCGGCCAATCGGATGCAAGCATCCAAGTATAAATGCCCCAAAACCTTGTGGTATGATATGAAACCATTAATATAATGTGCTTCTCTCTTCTTTTGACCCTTCCCATGTGTCTGATTAGAACCTAGTAGTGAAAATTACATTCAGATTAGAAAATTACATTCATCTGCTTGAATCAATTCACACTATTTCTGTGAATTCTTTCAAAACTCTGATTCATTTTGCATTATCTTACAAAAAATGTCCATACATTTTTATCTTTTTGTGGAATTTTTCTTGTATTAAAATGTTTAACTGAAAAATATAAATACAGATTCCCATTAATTATTATTTATTGTTATTCTAATTATTTAATCTTTTCTTAATATATTTTAAAATTAATATGTTAAATATATTATCATTTTTATTATTAAAATAAAATAAGGAATCTGCACACCATTATGAAGATTCCTTCTTGTATTTTGAGCACATGAACTGAATCAACACACCTGTGTTGCTATATAAATTGGCGCAGGACTTTATATTTATACTTTATATTTTTATTATAACAAATTAATTTATTCATATTTTTAAATATATTTTTTCCTTGTGTTCAAAATTATGCAGAAGATGCCTTGATTATCTTTAAATGGATTTTTACTGTGTTCTTGTATTAAGTTCACTTTTGTTCAAAATTATGTGTTATCTGAAAAAAATATCATTATCATCATCATTATTACTTTTTTATTATTATTAAGACAATTTAGACTGTCTCAGTGAGTTTAATAAAAACTCATATTCAGTGATTAATTTGGCATTATTTTTCAAAAATCTAAATTAAGATTTCCATTATATATTTTTATGTATTATTATACTGATTATTTTTGAAAAATACATATTTTATATATATTTTTGTTATTAAAAATGTATGTATTCATATTTTTTTACATATATTTTAAAACCATGTCCTTATGTTTAATTGGATTTTTACTATATTCACTACTTGATTTTACTATATTTACTATGTTTGGTCAAAATGTCGGTTTTGTGAAAAAAAGAACTATTTAAGACATTTCGGTGCAGATACATAAATATTAAGATAATAATAAAATTAATAATAGAGCAGCAAATCAGCATATCAGAATGATTTCTGAAGGATCATGAACATGCACTTATACTTTATCAGTTAGTTGGCTAAAATTCTCTTTTATCCAATTTAGATAGTGAAGATGGTGAAGAACTCCAAAGGTTCCCCAATCACTCTCTCCATTGGCGATGGGGCCAATGACGTTAGCATGATCCTTGAGGCACATGTGGGCATTGGTGAGCTATGATGCTGAAAATTCAGCTTTGCATCACAGAAATAAATTACATTTTACAATACATTCAAATAGAAAACACTTTTAAATTGTACTAATATCATTATTATATGTATTATTATTTAAGACACTTCAGTGCAGATACATACATATTAAGATATATTTAATATAAGTAAAAGGCTAAAAATATCTTGTGCAACAATAAAGTGGACCAGTTCGATTTGAGCATCCACGTTTAAGGGTCCAAATAACCTGTGGTATATTTTATGAACAAGATCAACATAATCCTTTCCTCTCTTTCTTTTTATCCCTCCCATGTGTCATTCAGATTTCCATTAGCAGTCCTGAGCTCTGATAGGCTTTTAATGGCCACACACACATGCTGACAGTCCTCCTATGAGTCCTCCCTCTCTCTCTCACACACTCTCACTCTCGCTGTCTTTACTTCCTGGCTTGGCACATTACCCTTGAGAGCCACCTCTCTCTCTCTCTCTCTCTCTCTCTCTCTCTCTCTCTCTCTCTCTCTCTCTCTCTGTCTCTC